AAAAATAATGAATTATTTTTATTTTTTTTTGTAATTTCCACATTTTCAATACCTTGACTTTTATATGGGCCGAATATGGATCAACTCAGATCACTTCGGCCAGCTTGGATTGAGGCCCGCAATAATCATGTGTTGCGACCTTGCGTAATGCTAGGACTTTTGCAACTCATCATGCTGTCATGCAACTTATGCAAGAGTTGTACTTTTGTCATCCTTTTGTATAGACTAAATAAAAGCTCATGCGATGCACGATTTTCCATACATATATCTCAAGAAAAGATATTTTCTATACACTCTAAGTTTTTTTTTTGTTTTATAAATTTGATTTATTTTACAATTTAATAATTTCAGACAAAAAAAAAACAAAAACAAATAATAATTTAATTAAAATGATATTGCCAATTACAAAAGTATAATTTTTTAATGTAAATTATAATGCGACTTAATTTATTGTTGTATTTTATTCGTTGTTGTTAGTTAGGTGACAATAATATGATATCTTTAAAAAAAATGAAAATATGATATTTCATTGATTACATATTAGGATAAAATCTTTAATGTGAAAAGATAATAATTTTTTATTTTTAAAAAAATTTAATCCTAAATCATTATTAGTTGCTTTTTACACTTGAAATTAAACTCTCAAATCTATGTATAATTTGTATATATCTTGTGATCTCTTGATCTATAACAAATTATCTGTCTTTTCAAATTTTTAGACATAAAATGTTTAAAGAAGGTAAAGTTTTTTATTGCATTGTAAGTTTTAAATTTTATTTATGAAAAAACATCTTATTAATCGGGTATTTAGATAAAACCATTAATTTCATAAGATAATTTTTATTTTTTTAATAATATAAATCCTAATATCCCACGGTTTTTTATACATAAAATCTCATAAAAATAATTTTTGTAATTATCATACTCATAATATTTTTGAACATTAAAATAATAGTTATTAGATGTAATATTTCGATGTTAAAAAATTGTATTAGAAAAAAATTTCGATAGGATCAACAACTTTTCACACCCAATATCTCTTCCATCTAATAAAAGGATAAATAGAACATGTTATCAAAAATAAAATTTATATAAAATTAATCTTTATAGTTTTATAAAATATAATTAAAATATTTACCAAAAAGTGAATAATTGTTGTGAAATTAATCTAAAAATTGTAATTATACAAAATTAAATCTATGCATTGGAATTTTCATCATCCCCAATTGCCCAAACAATAGTATTTTGGAAAATTGAATCATTATTTTTATTGTCGCTGACAATGCATGTGATATTGCTTCTTATTTGTGACGACTGAAAAGTATCTAATAGAGTAAATTTTTTCCTTCAATCAATTTTGAACAAAATTGTAGAATAAAGTTAAATTTAACTGAGGCATGAACGTAATCACCCTGTAATTAAAAATAAAAAATTAAGTTAATTTTATGACTTAACTAAGTTACATAAATCACAAAAAATTTGTTTAATCATAAAATTAATTGATAAAAACTAAAAGGTTCATTAAAAGGTTAAAAAAATAAACGATTTATAATGATATAATACCTCCTCATCCAATAGGATCATCAGGCGAGAAACTCACACTTTGATATTCTATAGATTTTTGCTCGAATATAATTCTCTAATTAAATTAGATCTGCATGTAAAAACAAAATTCAGTAAACAAAACATAAACATGTAATCATTAAGTATCCCAAATAAACACAATTTAAGCAATAATCACAAATATACATTTAAACATGGGTTTTTAAAAATTAGGCTAAGAATTACGTACCCAACCATTGATGACCTAATAAAACTGACACAAAATTAATGACACAAAATTTGCTTGGTTTGGTTTTGTATTGGTACGAAATTTTATTTTTTAACATAAAAACTATCAAAATTTATCTTATAATAGTAGGTATATAAATCCTATATCTAAAGATGATTATTTTAAAAGATAATTTTTAGTTTTTTTAAATAAATTAAATCCTAATAAATCAATATTCGTTGTTTTTACTTACGTGGAAAAATTCTTAAATCTCATTCGTCACTTTTGTTTAGGTGGCAAAAACTTTTTAATTCCAAAATAAAATAGAAATCTAATTTTTAATTGGTCGACAATATACCTTTGCTTATGTGGCACGCCGAATGCTCTCCAAAAATGCCTCCTTTATTTATATATATATATATTAGATTAGTTTAGATTAGTAAAATAAAATACTCGTATTTTTATCTCTATTCTATTGCACGCAAATAAAGCAATCAAAGCCGAAGCTTGCATAAACTACTTACTGCACATAAGTAGCCACCCTGGTTTTCCATCCCAACATCAAAGCCTAAGTATTCAACTTACGTAAACTCTTTTGTATAAATAAATAGATATAGTAAAATGAAGTTTGGACATTAATTAATCACAAAGTTTTCCGCCGTGGAACACTTAGCTCTTAACTGATTTGCTTTTACTATCCTAAGTTATTTTTTATTAATATACGGAAATACCTAGAAATTTCCTTTTATATAGGTTGGTTTAACGCGGATTAATGCTTTATAATTTTTCCATTCCAATAAGAATGCATCACGCATTTGTCTTGTTGACCGTTTTAAAAGAGTTGAATCAATTACTTCAGCATATGTTAAGCATGCAACTTTCTCTTTCTTATGACAATATCCACTTAATATATTTCTTTTTCATTATCCTCCTTTTATTAAAACTAGTTATTTTTGGGGAGCTCTTTTAGTGGTTGACAACATATGTAATATTTTTAGGAGTATAAATGTCCGCACACTAATTTAAGAGTTTTTTTTTTAAAAAAAAATAACTTTAATGAGGGAGAATAAGTAAATAAATATTTTAGAGGGTATAATTGTCCAAACACTATTCATAAGAGATAAATCATTAAATCACATAAGGAAATCTTAAAGCCAATTAACATCACATTAATAGGGGCATATAGATAAATAAACATTTTTAAGGATATAATTGTCCTTACACTATTTATAAGTGTTATCTCATACTTTTTAAAATGTAGGGATCATTAATCACTCATTTTTAAGGATATAATGGTCCCTTTATATTTTCAAAGTGCCCTAATTTTACCAACACATGACATTTGATAATGCAAAACATCGACAAATAAAAATTTAATAGTAGATTTAAAAAGTTAATATGCGAAAATAATATATTGATAGGATTCTAACAAATTATATACTAATATAACCATATATAGTCTTATGTATAAAGCACAAACATTAGCTAAAGTAATGTAAGTGAATAATGTAAAAATTATTCATAGTGGACATTAAAAACAACTGAAAGAAAAATAATACGAGTTATCCTACAATTAAATAAATTATTCTTAAACTCTGTGTAATTTCAAGTGAGACAATTATTTTGGAACGGAATAATAAATGTTTTCTCAATAAGAAACAATATACATTGACAATGTATTCGGCCAATAAATTAAAGATTTTTCATTGACTTATTTTTTAAAACCATATTTTTAAGTCGTAACCGAACGTGATAAAACATCATCACTTCGATAATTTATTTATTTCCTCCAATGATCTCTCGTCCTTTGATTTTCTTCATCTTCCTCTCACTTTCTCCCTCTAATATCTCTTTTTATTTGCTTACTTTACTAATAGACTATTATTTTTACTAATCACATGATAAAATGTTCTAATTATGGCTCGTTACTATATAATGTCACAAGCTATTGCAAACATTTCTCCATCATCCTCTTTTCTTTCACTCTTCATATATATTATCTAACTACGCACAATGATACTTATACCAAAAATGACTACACTACAAGCCCTTTCTAGCTTCATCACAGTCACACCAACGCATGTAATGTCACATGCAAAACCTAATTCCTTCAATTTTGTTGTCGTCAACCAATTTTTCTAGTAATCAACCTCTCTCCCTATCCCAATCGTCCGATTTTAGCCTCCGATGCTGCCACCACATCGTTCCTCACTTAGCCCTCAACAATGTTTACCCAATCAGTAATTCCTTTTCTTCTAGTTAATTACTTATATTTGTTCACCACATTCATAATTTAAGTTTTCCTTAATCTTAGCTTGTATATAACAAGAGATAAATTGGTGAAAGTCATAGTCTATACGGAGTAATATTAGTTATTTATGTTTTTGGACACTCTTAATAACAGTCTACTAATTGAATATTTCATGTGTATTCTTATTGCCAGGATGAGTGGGTTTCTAGAGATCGAACTCAAAGTACGGGACTATGAATTGATCAATATGGTGTTGTAACAATGCAGTCTATTCGAGTATTGTCAACTGGTACGTACATACTACTACGTTACAAAAACATGCATTTATGTTAGTTATATGGTAGGGTGTAAGTTAAATTTAATATTATTTTTTAACGTAAAATATGTGAAGTATATATTAAGTGTATTGATGACATGCATGTTCTGCTTTTAGCCTCTTTGGATTAAAAAAATAGGAATTTTTTTCTTTTTATTTTTTAAAGTGTACAACTTTACAATGATTTATCCTAATAAAAAGAAAAGGAAAGTGAGTCATTATTATTAAAATGTGACTATTTATGGAAATTGACACATCCATTGATGTTTATTAAATTATACACAGCACATCATGAGATATTAGAAAGCATTGGTCTGGATGCTAAAACAGTGGAGAGCAACGCGGTGCTTTAGCGTTGTCAAAACTTTCTCACACTTTCCTCGCACCACTTAAGGTACATATGCACATTTCGACCTTATTCATTGAATCATTATTGGCTGTTTATTTTGCATTATTGAGAGTAGAAAGTAAAGTACTTCCTTGTTTAGTTTTTAAGTGTACCTGTTTGACCGGCATAATTTTTTAGAAGTTTGGGTTGAATTTTTGTAATGATATGCATATGAGAGAAAGAGTTGTACTTGAAATAACGGAGGAATGAATATCATGTCAATGTTGGGATTGGTTATCATTGACAGACAACCCAAACTTAGGGTATGCTTCAACCTAAATACTCCATTTGTACATTATTGTTTAGACCGTTTTGACGCAGTAAATCTGTGTTACTCATTGTGAGAAACATTTTGTTCTCACAGTGGCAGTTTCGTAAATAAAATTACCATCATGACTAAAGTGGTACAATTTTATCATCCATTCGTAAATAAAATGTACCACCGTGACTAAAGTGGTACATTTTATTTATGAAACTGTCACTGTGAGAAACAAAAACGTTTCTCACAGTGAGTTACGGGGCGCCCTCGTTTGACGGTTTTAATATAGTATTTACTAGGTACAAAATAAAAGTATTGGTTATAATAGCTGAAATTTTTATAACAAATTATGTAAAATAATACCTGAATCTTGTAGAGAAATTTTCTAAGGTTTAAAATTCAAATGAGGTCAATTGACTCCATTATTATATTGTTATGGTGGCTCCGCCCCTTAACTCGTGTATGTAAATGATATTCAGTTATGACTTGCCCTTGGCCACCCGACGAAATTTTATAATAATACCTTACTGACGCACTTGCGTGCTTATTTCGTGTAATGCAGAGTGGAGACAAGTTTGTTCTAAAGGTGAAGGTCTCAGAATCCTCAGCTGCTCGTATATTCTTTGAGCATTATATCTACAAGTTGCCAAATAACGAGGTTTGATTTTTTCTTACTCTTTTACTAGCTGTTATTGTTGTTTAGCTTGCTAATTAACTAACAACTTCCACAACCTTTTGTATAACAGCCGATTCTAGAAGCAAAATCAGTTGTTGTTCTTCTTGGCAAAAATTACCGCCCTGTTCGTATGCCTACAGAGGTGAAATCCAAGTTAAGGCAGCTTATGATGCATCAAGAAGCGGCGCAACGCTTATTGATCATGCTATGTCTACTGCTCCCTCGCTGTTGAACGGTTGATGACCATTCCAAATGTTTGTGAAGCAACAGCAGGTAACTTAGAGCATGATTAGGAGCAATGTTAATCATGTATGTTGGACAATTTGTGTATTATAGAAGTCTGTAGTTCCGCAATTTGGAATGTCTTTTGTTAGGATGTGCGCTTGTGAATTGTGTGTAGTCAGGGTATGTTATATAAATGAACAATTGTTACTCTGTTTCTTCTAAGATAAATTTCTTAGTTTAACAAGCACATAAATGAATCAACACGAAACTTTAATCAATAATATCATAGATTAACTAAATGGTAAAATTAGAATTTAAAATTTGAAATTCCAAAAAGGATCTCTGAGATCAAGCCATAGTTCAATTAGATAATCACTTGAAATAGTATACATAGATTGTTGGAAGTATGACTAATAAATTTTAATATAAATTTTTATTTATTTCATATTTGTGGATATGCAAATAATAAATTTAACAGAAACTTTTGTGTGTGACTGGTCACACTGTGTGGCCAGCTAACACACAAGTAACAACCCCTGACCAAGTAACCCTTGACCAGCCGAGTAACCCCTGATCGACCTAATAACCCCTGACCGACCTAGTAACCCCTAACCAAGTAACACTACTAGAAATAGGTTGTTTTCCGACGGACTCAAATTCCGTTGGAAAATTCGAATTTTCCTACGAAATATGGTTCTGTAAGAAAAGTCCGTCGGAAAAAGCTGAGTTGCGACGGGAAATCCCTCGGAAATATTCCAACGGAAATTTTTTCCCTCGGAATTTACTAATTTCGACGGAATATTCCCTCGAAAAATTTCCTTCAGAAGCTGAAAATTCCGAGGGAAAAAAATCCGTCAGAACATAGTAATTTCCGAGGGATTTTAATTCCGTCGGAAAGTTCCGACGGAATTTAAAGCCTTTCCGACTGATTTTGACTTAAAAAAAAAAAAAAAAAACCTACAAAACCCGGAAACCCTACCCTTTTCATTTCTGTTCTCTCTCCTCTCTTCCGCCTCTTTTTTCTTTTTCTCCTCTCCTCTTCGTTCTCCTCCTTCCTTCGTTCTCCTCCTTCATCTCTCTGCCTCTTTTCTTTCTCTTTCCTGTCTTCCTCTCTCTCTCTCGCTTCTCTACTTCTGTTAGTTTCTTTTCTCTTCGCTTCATGGTCGTTGAAAACCACCGTCAAAGCACAACCACAATGCACCGTCGTCCACCATCGTTAAAACGAAGGTTTTTGGGTCAAATTCGACCATGAAAACCGTAGATCTAGAGTTTTCATAGTCGAATTTGGCCTTCTAAACCCAAATTTGAGGTTTTATGCAGTGGAATCAAGGTATGAATCTTTTTTTTTGTTGTTTTCGGATTTTCTGGATATTTGTGGGTTGTTTTTTCTATTTTTTCCGGAAAATTTTCAGCTTTTCTGATTTTCTAGATTTTCTGGAAATTTTCTGATTTTTTTGGAAATTTTCTGGAAATTTTCGGATTTTCTGGAGGTGGGCAATGGGTTACGGTGGTGTGGTGGGTTGGGGTGGTTGGTTACGGTGGTGGGTGGTTGGTTACGTGGCTAATGGGGTTCCGGTGGTGGGTGGGGTGATTGGTTACGGTGTAGGGTGGGTTAGGGAGTGGCTAATGGGGTTACGGTGGTAGGGTGGGGTGGGGTGATTGGTTACGGTGGTGGGTGGGTAAGGGGTGGCTAATGGGGTTACGGTGGTGGGTGGGGTGGTTGGTACGGTCGTGGGGTGGGTTACTGTTTTTTTTATTAAAATTTTCGACGGTAATTTCGTTGGAAGCATAGTTTTTCCGACGGAATATTCCGTCGGAAGTTTACTCGGAACCTTGCGACGGACTTTCCATTTAAGTAAAAATTGACTCCGACAGTTAAAAATCAGTCGGAAATTCCGTCGGAATGGACTTTTCCGACGGAATATCGCGAAATTCCTACAAAGTGTAATGCGACGGTGCTTATGGATGGAATTTCAGGGTTTTCTGAGGGATTTTTTCCGTCGTTGATTGGCTGTTTTCTAGTAGTGTAATAACCCCTGACCAACCAAGTAACTCCCGACCAAGTAACCCCTACTAACTGATAACCCCTTTTCATAAATTAATTTTAACTCTACTGTTTGAATATCAAATAAAGTTTAATTTCTGGAGAATAGAGGAATTGAGGAGAAGGAGAAGAACAAACCAACTCGAGAGTAGAACCAAAAACAATCATCAGGGGTTCGGTGGTGTTGTTGGCCGCTGCAGATGAACCGAAATTGGTGCAATTGGGGTCGTTGTGATGGTGCGAAGGTGCAGTGGTGGTCTGTTGCGGCGGTTCGGTGGTGTTGTTGGCGGCTGCAGCTACAACTAGGTGATTGTGTGGCTACCGATGCTGCAGCAGCAACGGTTCGGTGGTGTTGTTGGAGTGCGTGGGTGAGTTGGGCGGCGATGGTGGAGTGCGGTTGTGGCGGTGGAGGAGGGTGGTGATTGGTTGTTGTTGCTGTTGTGATGAGTCGGGCTGAATCGAAACTAGGGGCTGGTTAGGTTGTTGGCTTGATTGATTGTGGTGGCTGAAGGATGCAGGGGTGAGAGGTGAGTTGTGGTGTAGGATTAAAAAAAAACAAAATTATGGCTGGCCACACTAAAGTTTGTCTAAATTTAAATCTAAATTTCAACTTAAGATATTTAGAAGTAGCTCGATAAACAAACTTATTTTATTTATATGTGTGATAAAGCATCATTGTCCAAAAATCGAATTTGTACGTTCTGTATTATTCATAGAGACTCTTAGCAATTCAATTGATCTCCACTAATACATAACTCTTTCTTCTAAGTGTCCTACAATGAAATAGATTGATGAACACTATTGATCAATCTATTTCATTGATCTCCACTAATACATAAGTCTTTCTCCTAACTCTTTAGCTTTCCTTTTCTCTCTCCTTCGATTTCCTTCTCCATCACTGCGCCGCAAGCAACGCCATCGATGGCTAGGGTTTTCTGAAACAAGTTTCATTCAAATTATCTCCTGTTTCATTCAGTTTTTGTGAAGTTTCACAATTAATCATGCTTTTCCTTTTCATTATTTGTAACTTGATGTTTAAATTTCAATTTATACAGATTTATTGATTTTTTTTGTGCTACTTTGTAGAGGATTGCGATTAAAGGGTGAGGTACTCCTTAAATCATCGAGGCTCAATTGAAATGACGTACTCCTTGATGTTTAATTCTTGTTTCTGTTTAACTTTTAGGATTTTATATTGAAGTGTGCGAATTTTACTTCGATTCAAATTATAAGTACTTAAATTTTAAATTTTACTTTGATTCTTTTTTAGATTCAATTTCTAGGGTTTATGTAATTGATTCTTTGTACGTTAGTATGCATTATTAAATTGTACGTTATGGAAGTGACTAAATGATATATGTTTGAATGCTTTGTTGTGCGGATTTGGTGCCCTTTTTTGTTTGTAATGGTTTTGTGAGTATAGTAGTATCTAATGTGATTTTGAAAATAAATTTGGATGTAAATTTATGTGATTATGAAAATAATTTATGTGATTTTGGTGCCCTTTTTTGTTTGTTGTTTTTGAGTTTCAGTTTGTATGTGATGTTTGATTTTAAGTTTGATTTTGTCCCTTTTGTTCGATGATTATTGTAATTTTTTGATTCTTAGAAACCTCTTTTTAATTTTTCTAGTAATTTTGATATCTTGTTCGATGATGGCAGGAGGTGGATCAACAAGCAGCAACCCACCCAAGCAGAGGAAGAGAGTTGAATCTGAGTCTCCCGTGCTTTCTCTCGCTGGTATTTTTCTCCCTATATCTAAACCTAGGTTTTACTTTTTTTTATTTTTGATTCATGTTTTTCAGCTATTAGTGTTGTTTAACCCTAATTTTTTTTTCAGGTTTTTAACCTTGTGTATTCAATACATCGCTGTTTAGATTATCATAACGATAATAACATTTTTGGAATTTCCCGGTAGTGTTATCAATCCCGTGGTGCAGTTTTTTCTGAACACTAGTATCTTATAACAGTTTTTCAAATGCCTAAATGTCACTGCTGATCAGAAGAAAATCTTTAAGAAGGCATTTCATGGGTATTATGATGTTGTTGCAGAAGTTCTGCATACTGAGCATGTTGTAAGTCTCCATACCTGTCCACCCCCTCTATTTTATCTGTTTTCCATTCAGCTTCACTTTTATGTGTGTTCTTCATAGTATTTGCGCTGAGGTTTCATTGTCCGTGCAAAATTATTTCGATGCTGTATCTATTGTGTGCTCTTATCATTGGCTTATTCACATTTTTTTTTTGTACTGAGAAGCTAGAGGGCATAGTATATCACTATCATATTGTGCTTTGAAGCGCATATTGTACTCCCTCTATTCTGCATATAATGTTCTAATGACCTGTTCCAAGTCAAAGTGTGGTTAGATTCCTGTAAAATATGGCGATTTCATATGCTGTATGCCTGTATCTTATGTCAAAATTTTCTTATAGAATTTTGAAATACTATTTTAGGATAAAAACATTTTGCATAAGTTAAGAGAATTTCTTCATTATAATTCTGTCTTGAAGGCCACAAAATGTCAAGTGGGAATGATTACAAGGGAGTAAGAAAATAGCATTTTCTCTTTTTGTATCTTTCATAATTGTCAGCCAATTTGAGTATCTAATGTACCTGAGTTCGGGCAATATGTAAGTTTTCTCGAATTAGTTCAGCCAGATCTGCTTGTGTGAACCACGATGTCAAATAGTATGTAATTTATTTTATACAAAAACTTTACGCCTTAGTGTAAACCTGAAAACACAAGTTTACCAATTAAGGTGGCTCATTAAAATATGTGCACATGGTGGATGCCATTGTGTTTCAGATCAAGGGTTAGGAACTTAATATCCAAATTTTGTGCTTATTGTTATGTAAACTGACATGTGCGGTTGTGAAATTGTGTTGATATAAGAAACACCTTTGGAGTATTTGTATCAATCATGATTGTCAGTCAATTTAAGTATCGATGTACATGACTCTAT